CTTCTTTACAGAAGGACAAAGGAGAAATGTGGAAAAACCAAATGGAGACCGCCAAAGAATTCACGAGAGGGGATCTCAACAGACCACTACTAATAACTGATCAGAAAGAAATAACAGTGTTGATCGCTCTAAAAACTCTGGAAGTATGATTTTTCTTAGGAGAGAGAGTGAGAACGAGAGAAAGAGAGAATAGTTCAAATCATAGTTCCATGAGCACTTTTATAAGCCCATATAGAAAACTAAAGTGATTGCAGTGGATGATGAGGAACTTCTGTTGATAATGAAGCACGGGTAGCCTCTGTTTAAGTTCAAAGAAAAAATTTTGGAGTTTAATATAATAATTCATAGCTATTTAAATAACCACTAGAAGGGAAGCAGTCCCAGGGACAAAAGTCACAAAGGCATTCCCTTCTGGGTAACTCTACTTACTCGAATTTAATCACAATGTGATTATTTCTCCTGACTCCAGGATCTTGTTCCCCCGAGGTCAGTGCAAACCCTCTTCCCTCCCCCATTAATTCTGAGAGTCGACTGGAAGCTTCTCAAGGGCAGGGATGGTGTCTCAGTCAACTCTGAATCCCTGCAGAAGGCAAGCAGGAAATAATACGCTTATACACAGAACCATCCCCAAAGTAAGAATGGGGAAACTTGCTCTGCAGTCTTTAATTAGTAATGGCCACACAATTAATGTAGCCATATTTTGAGAGTTGTTCTCTGACAGTACTTATTCAGGTGAGCCACAATTAATTTCATAAGAAATGTCCATGATAACAGTGGAATTTTACTCAGCCATAAAGAAGAAAGAAATTATGGCATTTGCTGATAAATGGATGGAAATGGAGAAGATCATGCTAAGTGAAATAAGCCTGACTCAGAAAAGTCAAGGGCCGAATGCTTTCTCTCATATGCAGAAGTTAGACCAAAAAAAGGAGAAAATAGAAGGGGTGTCCTATGAAAATAGAGGGATATCAGTGGAATAGAAGAAAGGGATAGAAGAGGAAGGAGAAGAGACGTGGCAAAGGAGGAACTGCAGAATGAAATTGGCCAAATTATGCTATGTGCATGTATGAATATACCACCTTTAAGTATATCTATAAATTAACATTATTAATTATTAATTAAACAATAAATATAAGGAAGACCAGTAGAGTAGAGGAAGGGAAATAGGGAAAGTGAGGAGAGCTGGAGAAACTGCTGGGGGCTGAAATGCAGCAAATTATATTCCATCTATGTATAATTATGTTAAAAGGAACCCCACTATTATCTATAACTAAAGTGCACTACCAATAAAAATAGTCAAAATAGGAAATTCAACTACAAATTTTTTTTCATGATAATAACTTTCAGAATGTAAATACACAAACCAAGCTAGCTCATTCACAATAAGAGGAGGATCTTTTTCAGGGCCATAATATGAATGATGATCTTAATTAGAAAAAAGTCCTCTCTCCTAGCCATGAATCCATACTGGTGGACCATGAAGATATTACTACAAATCCTAGGGGCCGACTTCCTCAATGCATGTTGAGTAGCATTTGCATTTTTGGGGTTCTTACTTATGACCTGCTAGAGGGTCATAAAAATAGGTCATAAAAATGGAAACAATAGGGAAGGTGGTGTGGCAGGGACACCTATCATCCAAACCAGGCAGAAGCTATGAGAGCCTCAGGGTGGGGAGGAAGGGCATGCTGCCCTGCCATGCAGTGATGAATTTCAATCACCGCTGCCTTATGCCAGATTCAAATTGGCAACCCACTGAGATGAAACACTTTCTATCCTATTACTCATGCCTGGAGTGATCTGTTCCCTTGAAGATTGGCTTCCTAGGTGAAAGCAAGGGAATGGATGGTCACTCTGGGATGCCTTAAATAGGATAAAAGGTATGAAAGGCGAGTGGCCAGAGAGAAATGATAGGGATATGGAAAAGGAGCTGATGGTCCCATATAAATCTCAATGTATGGGATGGGAAAGGGTGGGACACTTAAAGGAAAAGGGAACTCAGTTAGTAATGGCAACCTCACCCACTTCAACTCCTACAATACTTTTGCTCTGCTAACAAAATAACATATTTAGGACTATATAGTAATCTTTCCTAAAAATTTGTATTTGGTTCAACTTATCTCATGAAATCACTCCAAATCATTAAAGCCATTTAAAATTTTAAAAAGAAACAAATCAAACAATACAACTTAACTTTTGAACATTCAGATCCATCCCACATGGATTCTGGTACTAATAATCCTCTGAATAGAGCTTTTAAGATTCCAAAATTATTACTAAATCCTTTTTTTTGAGTTTTGGTTTTTTTTAGGGTCTTGTGCATCTGGGAGATAAGTGGTCTAACTCTAAGCTACATCCTAGCCCTAATACTATCCATTTTATTTTGTAAGCCTTTTTGTTTGTTTTGTTTTTGCAGAGTAGGGCATCATACCCAAGGTCTCATGCATGCTAAGCATGCACTCTACCACCAAGCAAAAACTCCCTTGCTAAATCTTAATCTTTACTAAAACCTTATCTCAAGATTGAATATAACAAGTAACAGCAAAAAGTTAGAATTTACCAATAAATAAAATCAACAGCACAATTCAGTAAGTAAACATCAGTGTTCTCATTTTCCTACCCATCCCTTAGATAGTTGTCTTCCTGGATCCCAGGTTCAACAATGCATCTCTTAAGATATGCCAGGGCTCTGAGAAGAACAGCATACTGAGATGACCAAGGAAAAGGTTATTAAAGATAAGCAATCCTTTCAAATCTTAACAATATGAGAAGCAATGATAGGATCATTTTTAATAAAACAAATGTTTTCTCTGCTCTTGTCCTTACCTGGAGCTCCAGCTCCACTCAAAGTGGCCCAACTCTGGAAATTCCTAGGGGCAGTGGGAAGGAGCAGGAAGGAGCTCCGGCATGTTCAGAAAAGCATACTCTTGCTCCATGCCACCACTCTGTACATCTCTCCTCCAGCTCCAGGACCAACCCCCCATGCCTCCAGAGGGCTGGCTTTATGGCACCGGCTATGGCAACATTAATGCATGGCCCATTCCTCTGGTCTTCCATGCTTGAAGGTATCTCAGCAATGGCTGCAAAAGGACAGCATCTCTCATCTTTACCTTGATATGATACCGAAGTTGCAAAGCAGTATGCTTGGTAAATCCATGTACTTTTTATTCCCAGCCCCTTCTCCTGGGATTGGCATGACTCCATAGAAGCTGTATTTTAGTGAGAGATACAGCATGTAGATACCCTCTCTGATCCCAAGGCATAGTCTGTGCATTAAACTTGTGGGTGGTTTCCCAAGGAGTCCATTCCCAGGATGTTCACATGTAACCAGATCACCTGGTCCTCCAGGTGGACTGGTGCATATCTCATCTCTATAGTGCAGTGGACCCTACTACAAAGAATATGTCTGACCTATGAATGAAATGATAGATATCTAGGATTTGCTCCAAAATGATATAGGAGGAAGGGCTAGTAGGTGAGTAGAAAGAAGATCCAAAATTGACCAAGAATGTAAAATCATTGCTGCTGGGTGTTGAGTTTTGTGCTACTCAAGGTGTGGTCTGGGACATATGTGCCTATGCTCTGTGACTGGTCTTTGAAGATATATGTATAGAGATTGAAAGGAACATTCAGAAGCCTTTATAGCCAGTTGACAGAATAATTCTGTGTCTGTAAAATCTAATATAAAATAATTGGACTTGAATTTTTGTCTGCCTTTGCTTTTTAAACTCATTTTTCCAAGAATTTACTTTTTACAAAACTATCAATCTATGAGGATTGTACACTTAAAAAGAAAGAAAGAAAGAAAAGTAAGGAAAGAAAGAAGATGCCTTATTATGAAAATATTGAGAAGCCTTGCTTTATATGATTCTCTTTATCTCTGTATCTGCTTGTCTTTTTCCATAATAAAATGTTAGAAGAAAAAAAGACTTGTTATTTGTTTTCAGTCTCAAATTAAAATTTTACAATTCATCAGAATATAAATGAATTGATTTTATTTTACAAATACCAAGATAAATACAGACTTGACAACCTCAGTTACCCAAAAAGGCCGCTTCCTGGTGGCCCCCTCCCTCAGGGTAGTCACACGGGGTGGGGTAGGGGGCAGGAAAGATAGTGGAACCACGAGCTTACTGCAGCACAGGGCACCACAGCCCTGATGAGTAACTTGTGGCTTAACATTTGGAATATTTAAACTTTCACTTTTACTTTTTCCTCTCTGACAAAAGACACATCTTAGCCCACAAAGGGATGTGTGTGTGTGTGTGTGTGTGTGTGTGTGTAGATATGTATGAAAATTACAAGCCTACGTGTCTGTCAACTTGACACAATTATGCTTTCTAGTTAAGTAACTGAAAATAGCTGTATGTAGGTGTACAAGTACATTTCCATTTAAAAATGGCATCTAGTCTCTTTTTGTATTCTGGTCATAACACCATCATCCCAGGGCCATTCATTTTAAGGTCAAAAACTCCTGTGACCCCAGGGCAGCTAATATGTTCCTGTTAATCATCCTGATTCCCCACAGAGGAGTTTAGGGGAAAAAAAAAATTAACAGCTTAAGACTCAAACGTCTTGAATGCAGCCAGCTCTGTTTTCTCCATCAGCTTTGTCCTAACAGTAAAAGACCCACTTAATGCCTTGAAAGCAAAACATCGATTGGAAGGAGGAATCCACTTTTGAGGAAGGGGAAAGAAAATGAAAATATGCTGGGAGGGTGACGGTAGGCCATTTGTCCTGGGACATGGCAGCACGTGGGGTGTCCCTGCTGTGTCCCCCCTGTGGGATCATGTGGCTACTGTTTCAGGCTTACCATGAAATAACCACTTGAGGGGAAAGGCTGCAGGGAGCCTTTGCAGGGCGCAGCCTGTAAGGGTATGAGCGCCAGGTTCCCTGTAATTAAGAAGCAGCCTGCTCCCGCGAAGACAGTGCTGCCACCCCATCTGCCAAGCCCGCGGGAGCTGGCACCGAGCCTCCCTGCCTGCCGCCCTGCTACCCACCGGATCCTTGGAGACCGCCTTTGATGGAGCGTTTATGCCAAGCTTTTCCAGAGGATAGACAATCTGTCGTCGTGGTCGCACGGGAACCAAGTAATGAAGGGCAGATGTCAGGGAGTGGGCGTAGGGGTTCTGGAACTGAAAGACAGCAATCTATATTTTAGGGGAGAGAATGTCAGAGAGGCGCAGCACAGATGTCTGCGTGCAGCTTTACAAATACAAAACTCTTAACTCGGCCAAGTCGGAGAGGGGGAAAAAAATCAGCAAATAAACAAACATACTCTTCGAGCAGAGGAATGAATTGTAGATAATGCCTGACACTAATGAAGATAATTACGAGAGTAATTACATTACTATCTCTGTGGGAATGACAGATAAACAAGTGGTTTGGTTTATGGGATTTTTCAGTACAAGTATTTTCCCCAGGAGGATGCTCTTCTCCATAGTGATCATGAATCAGCTTGATTTGACCCCATTAAGTTGTGTTATCTGCGTCCTGTTAACCTTTGTGTGTTTGGCACAAGCTGCTTTAAGAAGACACATAGATAAAAATGCCATTGCAGAGTGACTGAACAAAAAAATGTGAAAATCCTCCTGTTATGGAACTGAGAGACAGTCCCAGACACTTTAGCTGGACCCTTGTGGATAAAACGAGTGTTAGAACAAAAAGATAAAACTGCAAAGTGGGGTAGTGTGGGGGAGGTAGATCATATTATGCTTAAGATTTATGTTTGTTGGAATGGACTATGATAAATCATGTTTTAGGACAATGCTTTAAATATTAATTTTCTCTAGTTTTTAAAAATTGGCAGAGAAAGCTGAATATGGTGATTTCTATTTTTCTTACATGTATAAATTCTCAGAAATTTGGTAAAACTAACACAGGATATAGTAACCATTTAAACCTCAAGAGTCAAACTATGAAGACAAAACTTTTAATGATACACGTACTGAATTTAAATGAGAAAGACAAAAAAAAAAAGTAAAACTGAACTGTTGCTATATCTTAATAAATAAGATGATTTATGAATCACTTATTTACAGTTCTAACATAACCCTGGTATTTTTAAGCGCTTCCACAGGGAATTCTAAAATCCTTCACCAACGAATCTCATACCTTGACTTTACAAACTGAAAAACAGAAACCCAGGAATCTCTAGCCAGAACTCTACTTTTTGTGCCAATGAATTTCTCTCAATGCATGCCCATGCAGGGAGTACAAAGAAATATAATTCAAGCCAAAAAAACTCATATTTACTACAGTCAACCAGAGATTTACAGCAGAATTTAGGAATTCTTACCCAAATTGTTTAGAATTGCTGCTTACACTTGTTTCAAATGTATATGCATAACTGGAAATGCAAACTGAGAGGAAATCTGTTTCCAAATGTGTTTCCATAGCCTATATGATAGTGCCTAACATATCCCTAACTCTACACCATTGTGGTAAATAAACATTCAATGAAATGCTCAAGACATTATTTTTATTATGGATGCAAATGGGCTTTCTCCAACCCAGCATATCCGGGCAATATTATGAACAAAAACCAAGAATTTAATATCACATCCTGAAGGTCACACAATTGGCTTTTGGCCAAGTGTAAAGTGAAAGAAAATTGTGCAGGAATAGGATTTTCCAATAAGACTGTTACCTTCCCATTTCATTAAGTTCAAATCTAGGGTGATCATATTGCTATCTGGCTGCATTTTGATAGAAAAAAAAAATCTCTGGAGCAGGGTCTACATCTCCCTAAAAGTATTTTCCATGTTTCTTCTTCTTTCTTTCCCATTCTCTTTACACTTCTCCAACAGGCTTTTGTTCATAAGGTACACTGGCATAATTATTGTGTGCATGCCCTAATACACCCTAGATTGTTAATAAAATGTTTGATAAATAAGATCAATCTTAAAATCCATTGAGTCTTCTGTGGGAACTAAGAAATGTGACAATGTCAAAGATTCCAGGCAGAACCCAAGAAAGATTGAGGTCATGAATGGAATCTGATGGAATAACTTCTAACCAGTCTAGTATTGAAGCCTATCACCTCTCCAGTCCTCATGGAGAAGACAAATGCTTCCGGTGATTAAGGGACTGGCTTTCAGGGCAACAACCCCTTGGGAATCCAGATTGAATGGGCACTTGCCTGTGGAACAATCAGGACACCTAACATGAGGGAGGGAAGGAGGGAGGAGGGAAGAAGTGTGTGTGTGTGTGTGTGTGTGTGTGGCTTCAAGGCACTGGAGATACAACCTTGAAGAAAGCAAACACTCCTACCTTTATGGTAACACGTACTGAAATGTGCAGGATACGGAAATAGAATAGGTTTATTTTTAGTGCACACACATCCATTATTATTCTACATAATTATTACATGGAGTTATATGAGTGTTTACTACATAATGTTTACGATAGGATCATACATCTCCACTTTTTATCCATTACTTTTATGGAGTGGATATAGAATCTACTTGGAATGCTGGTGTATAGCACACCAATCTTATAGAATAGAAGTAATTTATTCTATTTATTTACTTGAAGAAACACAATAGGATTATTTTGGCATTGCTCCATAAGACATAATTTGATTTTCACGTCTCAGAGTATTTTTGCATAGTTTTTAGTCTCTGTTTTGTCAACATAGAAATGCTAACAAATTGTTCTACTATTAATATTGGTTGCTATTGTCTCAGAACTTGAAAGCTTTCTGGATATTCACTGTAGTGTAAGAAAAGGGCCAAACTCAATGTGGTCACTGGAAATTCATATCCATGTCAAAACCCATCAAGAGAGGAATGAATGAGATAAGGGCACAGAATAGGAATGACACTGTGAATGCTGATCTGCTGGGAAAGGGAATAACAAAAACTCCTTACCTTGCCTTTCCTGGGTTGTGGGTAAATAGGGTAGTAGAGACAGGACTTATAGCTTAAGCGAAGGATCTCCTTCAGAAAAAACTTGGTGTAGTGCCGGAAAATAGGGTTCAGGGCAAAGTGATACAAGTGACCATGTTCTTCCCGCTGATGGTGGCTGAAGTAGATGAAATCTTCAATATTGTAATGGGACCGTATGTACTCTACATCCTAAAGAAGAGGCAGAGAAAGTGTGTTTTAAACAAATAGCATACATGTTATGATAAATATCCATTAAAAATTATTCTAGGGTGGCTGGGGTGAGGCTCAGCGGTAAAGTGCTTGCCTCCCATGTGTGAGACATTGGGTTCGATCCTCAGCACCACATAAAAGTAAATAAACAAAATAAAAATACTGAGTCCATGTAAAACTAAAAAATATTTTTTAAAAAAATTACTGTAGTGTCTTTTCCTCCCATTTTTTTAAACCACCTTGTCTTCATGAAGTATTTTTTTTTTTACATTAAAAGCATGTGGAGGGCTGGGGCTGGGACTCAGTGGTAGAGTGCTTGCCTAGCACATGCGAGGCGCTGGGTTGGATCCTCAGCACCACATAAAAATAAAGATATTGTAAAAGTAAAGATATTGTGTCCAACTACAACTAAAAATATTTTTTAAAAAGCATTATGCTATTGTGCATGTATCACAATGCATTCCAGTTTTATAAATAACTATAATTCACCAATCATAAATAAATAAATAGATAGACAACAGAGTAGAGGAAGATAATTAGAGAAGCAAGAAGGGAAGAGAGAGAGAGGAAGTAGGGATTGAAAATGGAGAAAACTACATTATATGCGTTTATGGATATGTTAAAACAAACCCCACTATTATGTATAACTATAATGCACTAAAAAGTTTTTTAAAAATTTAAAGTAATGTTTCCTGAAAGTTGTTTGTTTTGATGACTTGTTTGGGGGGGGGGTACACAGCTTTGGAGTTCATTCATTATACCCACGGTTCACATTAAGTGGAGAGCACTGAGCCTGCGTCTGGCAGGACAGCAGCCCTTAACCCTGCTGAACACCACGAGTGCAAGCTGGTTAGCACAAGAGACTGAGCATGTGAGTTATTCTGGACTCAGACAAACAGACCCACTGGCATTCCTGGATGTCACTATTCGCCTGTTATGGTGGAAACATGCCATCTCAAAGTCACATACTTTAACCGGTACAAGTAGCTGGGCTGAGTGTGTGGGCTTTCCTAACTTTCTATGTCTGATGTATAATATAGTTTTATTTAACAGAAAGTAATTTAAAGGATTCATGAGTGTTCATATGGAAAATGAAATATTGGGCACGTTGCTTCTGTTTCTAGGAGATGGGTTTTGGGGCACACACTGCATTTCCCTATATTGCATTGGGAACTAGGGGCTTATCTGTGCTAGTTGTGCACTGGGTCAACCCATTTTGCTTCACCTCCCAGATGTGTACTGTTGGGAGCATGGAGTGAAGGGGAGCAATCCAAAGCAAATATGACTCTCTCTGATGACAGGAGACTTAATTCTTGACAAATAAGTCCTACAAAACCTACTGAATGCAAAATCAAACATAGTCAATACACCTGAAATGTAGGAAAGAAACAAATTAAATGCAGGTTGAAAAACTGTGAGTTAGATTTCCTTATTTTCCCTAGGAAAATTGTTTTAAGAAACATATTTTCAAGAAGAGAAATTGGAGAATGCAAGAAACTCGATTTATTCTGTGATCATCAAGGCTGGTTATTAGCAATTTCATGAAAACTGTCAATACTGTAGCAAAAGCTTCTTCAAGGTCCTTTGACTTTCTGTTCCTGCCACAAAGCACAGAAGAAACGGGGCTTGGGGTAACCAGGCCAGTGGTGGACCTGAGGGCAATTCTGGCAACCTTTCAATCTGCATTGACTCTGTATCAGCCTTTATACCATAAGAACTTTCTTTAATTACCAAAGAGACATCCCTCATTATAAAATAAAAAAGAGTAATAAGTGTAAGGCTGAGAAATCATTGAAAAGTAAAAAAAGCAAAGAGCCAACAAAAAAAGTTATTAGCTCAAAACAGCAGATGGGCAATGTGTAATTTTACTTCCATCCCAAATCCCTTAAAAATAACAAGATTTATTTTTAAAATAATTGGGGTTTAGTGGAGGGGGGCAAAAATGTAAAAATGGGAGGAAACTCTACTACTAGGTTAAATCTTCCTCTCTTGGGCAATTTGGGGGTCCCTGCCTACCTGCTGGTACTATCTTCAAGCACACAAGAGGAGGCCAGACAATGGTCATCTCCCTCCCAGTTAGACAAAGGGGGACAGGAGACAAGCAATAGAGAAACACATAAACACAACTGCCAACCATGCACATGCCAGCCAACCGCCCATACTGACAATTTAATTTGTCATTCATGACACAGACAGACTTTTGAGGAAAAATGACTGAAGCAAAAAACAGAATGGAGAAGCATACGACCTGCTGCAGAGGAAACAGATTGATCAGAGAACAGAGGAGGTTTTTTAAATTCTACATAATGTCTTCAGAGATACCCAAAAGGATCTTGCATGTAACAAAACAAACAAGTTGATACCAAAAAGAAACCATTAGAAAACAAGGAAGAGACATGAAAGTTAAATATATGAATTCTGGAATACAAATTCCATCAGAAGACCTGGATAACAGAATAAACATGACTGAAGACTCAATTAGGAATTAAGAAGACAAAAATCAAAGAAAATTCTTAAAATAATGAGTAACAACTACAAGATTATCTATCATATGTATTATCTATATAACATATATGTTAAAAGACATTGAAGAATCAATTCAAAAGATTCGATATCTACCTAAAGAGCAACTTAAGAAGAGGAGGATAGAGACAATGGAGGAGTAGGAATAACTAATGAAATAACAACAACAAAAAATTTTCCTGAAAGAGGCATAGATACTTCTTGACGAAATTTCAGAATTTCTGGTATAAAAAGAAAATCTAATTCTCAAAGAGATTAAACACATTATTTACAAAAGATCAAGAATTCAGTCACCATTAGGCTATATTTTATCAATGATACTGGATACTGAAAAATAATGAGAGTTTAATTATGACAAATAACTTGAATAATAACTTTAAATAGCCAAATGAGTATTTTAGCATGAAGAAAAAAATGAAAACTTCTCGCATATGTATAGAGTAGGAGACCTTACTACCTTTTTAAGAGAATAACTCAAGGATACATTTAATCAAAAAGAGAAATGAATGCAAGAAAAGGGATACTATATAGTACGTATTACAGTTTGGATCTGGACAGTTCCCCAAAGGCTCATGTATTAAAAGCTTGGTTCCTAGCTCACAATTGGGGCGGGAAATTTTAGGAGGTGGGATCTAATTAGAGGAAGAGGTCACTCGGGGTGTCCCTTAAGGTTATATTATGTCCCCAGCCACTTCCTTGTGTCTTCTCTTTCTCTCATTCTTTCTCTCCTCCACCCATCTTCTTCTTGACTGCCATTAGGTGAGAAGCTCTGTTCCACTACACATTCCCACACCCCGTGATGTTCTGTCTTACCACAGGCCCAGAAATGATAGAGCCAAGTGACCATGAACTGAAATCTCCTTTAAATTGACCTGCTGAGGTATTTTGTCACAGCAATGGGAAACTGACCAAGCCACATATATATCTAGGGATGGGGATGTAGTTTGGTAGTAGAGTTCTTGCCTAGCACATGCTAGGCCCTGGGTTTGATCCCCAGAACCACAGCGGGGGCTGGGGGGAGTCAAAGCCATAAGAATATCTCAAAAAATACCAAACACCCATTTGATAAAATTCAATATATGTTTATAATAAAAACCTTTAACACACTGAAGATATAAGAAAGCTTATTTAATTTGATATCTCCAAGACATCTGTAGCAAATGTTCTAAATGGAGGAAAATATGAAATAATCCCATTACAATAAAAAACAACACAAAAATAGCTACTGTTTTTAAGGTTGGCTGAGTCATATGCTAAAATTGCAAAAAGAAATATGATATATATTAGAAGGAAAGTCAAAGATGGCCAATGTGATAGTATCTCCTATCCTATATGTGTTTTCTACAAAGTGCCATTGCCACACCCCCATCAAGGAGTGGAATCCACTCCATCCTTGAATCTGAGCATGCCCTCTAACTCCTTAAACCAATGAAATAATTTGAAGGTGATGCTATGCCTGGAAAGAGAATAAATTGCAATACTTTGAGAACTAGTAAGAGACTTCAGAAAGGTGATTAGATATGAGACCAAAATACAAAAATTAGTAGTTTTACGGTATATTAAAATAAGTAATTGGAAAATGCAGTAAGAAAAAGTGCTTATTTATAATACCAAGAAAAAAATCATGAAATACATATAAGTAAATCATAAATGTCCAAGACTGTACGAGGGCAGGGTCTCAGTTGGAAACAGATGGCACATTCAAATTAGGATAATTAAAGGTGGTTTTAACAGAGGAAATATTTATGAGGATGGGGCAGGGTGTAGGGAAATCAGTAGGAATGGTGCGGCAGCAACTGCAAGCTCTTAATAGCCTAAGTGAGTGGCAGAGTAGGAGGATACGTTACAGGAATCCACAAAGAGAACATCCTGGAGAAGAGGCCACCTTGATAAGGCCAGGAGATTCAGTGGACATATCAGCCAGTTGTCAGCATCCCAAGCTCACTGTCCTCACCTCCTCTGGTCAAGGCCTTCCATTGGCCAAATGCACATGGAAGCCAAAGAGCATAGGCATTATGATGCTGCGCATTCAGTTTGGCCTCCAGGGAAGGAACAGGGTGGAAAAGGGTGGAGAGTTGGCCTGCACAGTAAACAAAATATCTGGCTGTATTGGTTCATTTTCCATTGTTATAACAAAACACCTGACTATGGGTGCTTTATTCATTCATTCATTCATTTATTGGTACTGGGGATTGAACTGGGGCCACTTTAGAGCTGAACTACATCAAATTGGGGTACTTCACAGTACTGTTTATTTAGCTCACAGTTTTGGAGACTTAAAGTCCAAGACCAGATGGCTCCATTGATTCAGATGATAGTAAGGGCTTCAGCGCCAATGATATAGTGGCATGAGTGTGTGCAAGAAGAAGGGAGGCATTCACATTAAATAAGTAAAAATAAAACAAGAACTGAAAGACAACAAGGGGAGAGAAAAGGCCAGTCTCAGTGATTTTTTTTTTAAATCAACTCTCTCTTAAGAAAACTGATGTCCCCTCAAAACTACTTAATCCTTTCTGAGGGCAGCTTCCTCAATGACCTATCAATCTCCCACTAGCCCCGCCTCTTAGAGGTCTTAACCACATCTTAACATTGTCATGCTGGGACAAGCTTCCAACAAAGGAACCATATCAAAACCATAACACTGGCACAAAACCAGGCACACAGAAAGTAATAAAACTTTTCCGAAGAACCCAGAGTCAAACAGGAAGACGTGTTCTCAGGTAAGTCTAGTATTTTAACACTGTTGATTCTTCCTAAATTGTTCTATAAAATCCAAATAGGCACAGAAAAAATCATAATAGGTACTAGAAGGTTTATCTGGGAGAGTATGAAATATCCAAGAAAAACCAAGAACATTTAGAGAAAGAAGGCAAACAAAAGAAGACTCTTCTACCAGAACTCAAAGTACATGATAATGTAATTAGGCATCAACTAACAAATCCATCCTTAGAATGGAGCTTAAAAATTGACACAAGTACATAGAAATTTAATAAATGTAAAGGCAGCATTTAAAATCAGTATGGAAAGAATGAAACACTTATTAATGATATTTTGGAGTAACCGTCCATTGGGGAAAATATAAAGTACATGTAATTAAATACAGAGAAGAATGCTGGAAAGAATAAATGAATAACTAGTACACTAGCAATCTTTTGGAGATTTTTTGGGATTTTTTCATGTGTGTGGGAGGTTATTTGAGTTTTTAGAATTAGAATGTTTTCATATATTTTTTGTAATATTCCAAAAATCTTGAATTAAAAAAAGGAGAATTAAAAAACTACCAAGTAGAATATAAATTGATGATGATTAGATACTTTAGGAAAGGGAAGCAGTCACATTAAATAAGTAAAGATAAAACTTAAACTGTAGCATTGTGTGCTAATTCATGAAATAAAGAATCATGATTAAGGAAATCAATAGCCATTTCACAAGTTACCATTTCATTTCTGATCACTGCAATACCAACTATTTGTTCAGCAACTTCAGCAACAAATGCCTGCATTGGTGTTCCATCCTGAAAAGATAAATATGCATTTGAAGACCATTAAAAGTATTAGTGTCAAAGTTTCTGTGAGTATTAAATTGTGAGTCCATGATCATGAACCCACAAGCCATGAGTACATAATAATGACAGACAGATCCAATACCTAACAACATTTACTTTGGGATGGTATCAAGGTAAATGCCCTCCCTGTGTTCATTTCATCCTCACCTCAATTCTTTGTATTATTATTAATCTATTTATTTATGAGAAAATGGGCTTGTCAGACTGTTACAAGATCTCCATCTCACAAGGAATAAATCTATGATTCAAACTCCATTCCTTTCTACTCACAATTTACTCTACATCAATGGATCCCAAATGTTATGATCCTAGAACCCCTACACACCAAGGACTCTTGAAGAGCTTTGGTTTAAATATATAATATCTATCACCATTTTATGTATTAGAATACTGAGAAAAGCCAGGTGTGGTGGCACACATCTGTAGTCTCAGTGGCTCAAGAGGCTGAGACAGGAGGATCCAGAGTTCAAAGCCAGCTTCAGCAAAAGCAAGGTGCTAAGCAACTCAGTGAGACAAGGTCTCTAAATAAAATACAAAATAGGGCTGGAAATGTGGTTGCATGCCCCTAAGTTCAATCCCTGCTATCCCCCCAAAAAAAGAACAATTTGAATTTATTAATTTTTTTCAATTTAATGATAAAATAAAATTTAAGCTTTATTTTTAATTGAAAACTGACAGCATATTGCATATTTAATTGAATGTATTTTTAATTAAAAATTATACATTCCAAAACGAAAATATTCAAAAGAATTGAACCATTTTCTATTTTTGCAAATTTCTTTAATGTTTGGCTTAATAAAAGACAGCTAGATTGTCATGTTTGCTCCTGCAGTCAATCAGTTGCAATATGTTGTTTTAGTTGAAATATAGGACATAAATTTGCCTTCACCAAGATATGTAGTTGGAAAAGAAAGAAGTATTTAGGTAATTTTTCAGATAATTATGGATATTCTTTGATACTCCACCAAAACTTAACAAGTGTAGTGTCTTAGAGATTAGTTCCAATGTAGTATCTGAAATCATATCAATGAACATTGTATACACTTTTATGTTAAAATTCATTGGTCTTTTGCACTTTGAATAACTCTTACTCATGCATGTTTCTGCAACATCATTCATTGTTTATCTGGAAACTATTGGTTCACCAAGCTATGAAGATTTTCCAAATCTTGAGTCATTGAATTAAAAACAAACATCAAAACATCACATTCATTAACATCATCATTAGTTTCATCAGAAAAAGTATTATAAGTATTGTTAAACTGTCAAACTCACAAATGGCAGATACTGGTTTCCCTAAATTGTATAGTCTTTTTTCTTAATTGTATTCTATCACAGGGTGCAAATGCTGTCAGTTGTTGTCTTGGTGTAACAAGCTTATCTCATTCATTTTTAAGAAAATGTCTGCCAACTACTTGCATCCAAAATCCTGTATTTTGTCTGCCAGTTTTTCTTTCACGTAAAAATGGTGTTCCATGAAAATGGCAATTGGGGGGCTAGGGTTGTGGTTCAGCAGTAGAGTGCTGGTTTAGCACCTGTGAGGCACTGGGTTTGATCCTCAGCACCACATAAAATAAATAAATAAATAAATAAATAAATAAATAAATAAATAAATGAAATATAGGTATTGTGTCCAACTGAAACTAAAAAAAAAAAAATTTAAAAAAATGGCAGTTGGTTCAACATGCAATTCAAACAACCGCAGAAGTGCTTTTTCTTGAAACAACCTACATGCTTCAGGATACAATAGACACTCTTCATGCATATTTCTCATTTTGTCACAAAGAATACCCAAAACACATGGACTCAAAGGCTGAGATTCAATATAATTAGCAATGTTACTGCCTAATCAAGTATATTCTTTAGTGAAACTGGATCCTTCTTTTTTAAAATTGAAATGGCAACTGAGATAATTATAGATTTACATATAGTTTTAAGACATAATATAGAAATTCCTTGTATACATTGCCCTGTATCCCCTGATGATAACATTTTGCAAAACTACAATAAGACAAGCAGGAGATGACATTGATTCAAGTGTGTGTTTGTATGTGTATTGAGTTCTAGATAATTTTATTACCTACATAGGTTTGTGTATTTATCACAACCATGGTATTGAATAGTCCCAATACCACAAAAATCCCTTTGGTTTCCCTTTCATAGCTATACTTATCTCCCCCTACCTTTCCCCTGCCCTTAACTCTGGCAACAAATAATCTGTCCTCCATTTCTAAAATTTTATCATTTCAAATGTCACACAAATGGAATCATACAGTACATAATCTTTAGGCATTGGTGCTTTATTTCCCCACTCAGAAAAATACTCTGGAGATATATCAAAGCTATAACATGGATTAGCAGTTCATTCCTTTTGTTACTGTGTAGTGTCCTATGGTGTGAATGTGATATAGTTTTTTTTAACCATGCATCTGTTGAAGAACATCTGGGGTAATTCCAGCTGCTGTGGACATTTATGTACAAGTCCTCATTTCTCTGGAACAAATGCCCAGGAGTACAATTGCTGGGTCATATAATAATTGTATTTGTTTGTTTTTAAGAAAACACAACATGTTTCACAAAGTGGCTGCACCACTTAGCAATTCCACATGAGTGGTCCAATTTCTCTATATCCTCACCAACATTTAATGGTGTCACTATATTTTGCTTTAGCCATTTTGACAGGCATGCAGTAATATTCCTTAGTGGGTTTCCTTTTCTGTTGAAAGCAGGTCAGGGAGATGAAGAATTCCATGACTAATAGGACATTTGGTGTCACTGCCTTGATTCCTGGTAAGGTGCCAACTGTTTTATCCACTATATCACTTTTGAATAGTTAGTACAAATGCCAATAAAGTGGAAAAGGAACATAATTTAATTCTCTTATTATGAAAATAGCTTTTATCTCATAGAACCACTGAACTTTTATGACTTGGAAATCACCACTCCTCCCAAAACCAAGGTTCCTTGGACCATATTTTGGGAAGAAGGATGCAAAATCATACTCTTGACAGGGGCTAAGAAGGAAGGAGCAACAAATGAAACAAAAAGACCAAGGCAAACCAAAGCAAAAAAAAAAAAATGCTGGTGGGAACTTTTATTTCAGTTTGATGCCTTTATAAATATTAAACATTTGTGTATTTGTCATTATATTTAGATGCTTGATGTCTCCCTCCTGGTGACTTAATAATTAACTAAAAAGATTTTTCCCCGTAAAAAGAACAAATAACTGGGAACTCCACAGATGGCCTCAGCAGTAGAGTGAAGAAATAAATTGTGATGTATCCATGCAATGGAATTCTTCATGATATAATATGGGGGCATCTCAGAAACATGTTGCTGAGCAGAAGAAACCCAATGTCAGAAAATAAACTGCATGATTCCATTTACATAAAGCTCAAAATAGGCATAATTAATCTCTGATCTTAGAAGACAAGGAGTTAATCTGGGGAAAATGCCTGAATGGAAGTAGGAGGGGGTCTTCTGGCTGGCTGGGGTCAGTCTGTTTTTGGAAACAGGTGCTGGTTACGTGTGGTATTCAAATTGTGAAATACATCAAACTGTTTATTGGTTATACTTCAATAAAATTATTTCAAAATTAGGGTTGGGTTGTGGCTCAGAAGTAGAGTGCTTGCCTACCATGCATGAGGCACTGGGTTCGATCCTCATAAAAATAAAATATTGTGTCCACCTATAACTAAAAAAGATGTATTTAAAAAAATATTTCAAAGTGAAATGTAAGTAACTGGATGCTTCTCCAAATCTAAGCCTAGTTCCATGGCCCTTAGCTGGAATGGCCCTTAAGATAATGGTGTTAACATGAGGACCACTGCCAGCCTGCCTTTGCCTTGGCATACACATGCCTTACTGTACTAGAAAGAGGACCCAATATTTTCCACACAGGATCCTTCCTAGCCTATCCAGTCAGCCAGCTCAACAAAAGGGTCTGTCCAGGCTCATCATTCAGTAGGGTCAAAATGGGGACCCACTAAGTCTGATAACTACCAGGTGGGTGCCATATCTTCATGAAGTCCCTGACCACAGGAAGATCCATCTTAGTCTAGGGACCAGGATTTATTTATATACTTTTGTGATGTAATTCTGCCTCAAGTTCAAATGTTTTCATTCTTGTGATAAAGATTTGGGGTATATTATCAGCCCCCTTGAGCAATACCAGTGAGGAAAATAGCTTCTCCTCCTTAAACTTCAATCTCCTTGTTTTGTTTTGTTTTGGTTTTCTTGTCCCCGTCTTTGAATCCCACCAGGGCTGTTCTCCACCATATGATTCTCCAAATGAAGTTCAAGGAAACTTCACAGATGAATGTACATGGGTCACAATGGTCTTATTTCATGAGGAGAAGGAGGCTACTCTGGTCACTGCAGGTACTTACAGGGTCTCTGCGAGCTTCATTGTATTGGCTTAAATCTGTCAATATGCTTTCACTGAGCATGAGGGTTCTCACAAGCTTTTCAATGCCAGGAGTGTCCATTAAAGTGGCTAATCTTATCTTAATGGACCTGGATAAGAAGAGAAATATTATTTTTTAGGTTAAAGTACCCAAATATGTATTTCTCCCAGAAATGGAGAAAGAATTGCAATATATCATATAAAATAATATCTGGAGGAGTATATATGTATTCACATTGGAATTTGATTAATTAAAAGTAATTCATTTCCTTCTGGAAAACCTGGAAAGTACACAAAAGAGTACAAATAATAAGATAATGCCATTAGCCAAAATAACAAGATTATACTTTAAAGGCATACAATTTAAAATGCTCAGCACTCTATTTCTCAGGTAGAGCTAGTCTCAACCATTTTTTCATGATATGTTAAGAAACTGCACTGTACCAGGATTGCCCTCACAAGCATGTTCCCCAGAGAGCAGCCCAGGGCAGCATGCTCTGAAGGACCTACCTCACACTTCGAGTTTAATGCTTCACCATCTTAGAAATTCTTAATAATTGTATCTTTGATTTTGTGTTTTTAAGTGAAGTGAGACAGTGCAGCATGTCCAGGGGATGGGGGTCTCTACTCATGCACGGTCCCCCCCACACCCATCACTTTTCCATAGTGGGTTATCTCCTACCTGTTCCCTGTCCCTGGCACCTTGGTACTCTCCACCCCTGCCTCACAACTGCTGCCTCCCTCTGCCATGGGTAACAGCTGGGTTATGTTGGTTTGGGGAGGTCCACATCTACCATCACCCTCAATTCCTAGTGAGAGCCTGGACACGGATGGAAGAGGGTCAAGGTCAGATACATAACCTGTGGAGTCTCTGGCCACACAAGGGAGCTACTGTCCACACTCTGGTGGCAGGCAGAGCCATGAAGTGTTGACTGGTGACACAGTGTAAAATTCTTGCCCACTCATATTATGTAGCTGGCTTTTCATTGAATTCTCTATAGTCATCAGGGTATTATGATTAAATAAGAACAGGCTATTCCTCCTAATGTTAATAGACTATTCTAGTCTATTTTAAGTACTAAATATCTGTGCATATTGGCAAAGGAAATCTACACCTATAATTAACTGGTTAAAAATGATCGATTAATATTACCCTGATAATTTTTATGTGAAAGATAAGAACTTGATTCTGATATGAGCACCTCACATCAAAATTTAGCTCTGATGGGTTAAAGATGTGAATGTAAAACAGAGAACACAAAAGTACTGGAAAAACACTTAAAGAGTATTAACAACATATGTGCTATGGTTTATAAGTGAGGTGTCCTGCAAAAGCTCACATATGAGACAATGCAAGAAGGTTCAGAGAAGAAATGATTGGGTTACAAAAGCCTCAAATAAATAAGTGAATTAATCACCTGATGGGATTAGTTGAGTGGTAACTGAAGGCAGATGGGGCGTGGCTGGAAGAAGTGGGGCATTAGGGGTATGCTTTGGGGTATATATTTGTATCTGATGAGTAGAGTCACTCTCTGTACTTTCTGATCATCGTGTGAACTGCTTCCCTCCACTACTCTTTTCCGCTATGAGCCCAAGGAAGGGAGTCTGCTGTCTGTGGATTGAGACCTCTGAAACTGTGAGCCCCCAAATAAACTTTTCCTTCTCCACAGTTGTTCTTGTCAGGTGCTTTCCTTCACAGCAGCAAAAAAGGTGACTAAAACAATATGATCTCACAAAACCTTGCACACTAATGTGATAGCAGCATTAATTATAAGAGCTCACTAGTCATAACAAGCCAAGTGTCCATCAACTGATGGATGCACAAAATGTAAGATACACACACACACACATACACACACACAATGGAATATTATTCAGCCATAAAAAGAAATGAAGTACCAACACATATTCCAACATAGCTGAACCTTAAAAACATTACGCTAAGTGATATAAGCCTTATTTAAAAGGTCACATATTATTTGTATTCCATATACATTTCATTTGTATGGAATGTCCTGCAGAGGCCAATTTAGATTCAGAAAGTGGATTAGAAGTTATCAGGGGCTGGGAAAGAAAGTAATGGATGTGGCTGTTTAATGGGCATGGGGTAGCCTTTGGGGTGATGAAAATGTCAGATAGAGGAATTGGTTGCATAACATAAGTGTACTGAAAACCATTGACTTGTACATCTTGTACACTTTTAAATGGATAAATTATATGCTCTGTGAATTATATCTCTATAAATCTGAAAAGGCAATGGAAATACAAATAACAGCCAAAAAATAAGTGGGTGCAGCTATAAATATCAGATAAACTAGACCTTAGGGCAAAAATCAGTATGTGAACAAAAGTCTTTGCTTGATAAGAAAAGTAGAAATTCACTAGGAAGATGCAACAGGCTCAAAACTGCAACTTAACAGCATAGCTTAGGACACTGAAGGAAAAACTGATAACTTCTAATCATAAGAAGAATTTGACTAGACCAATCATCCTACTGGTAGGATTTGGAAACTGGTATCAGACAAAAAAGCTTCACACACTGTGGAAGATTTGGATAAGCTTACCCTAAAGGACATTGCATCCGCAAAATGAAACAAACCCGGTTATCTAATAGTCTATTTAGTGTTGTCCTTCTACAGCCCTCCACTGTCTTTCCTGTCTGACTTAATGGTAAATCTGTCCTTCCAGGGGTTCAAGCCCCAACCCTCAGCTTCCTTTTGGCTTTCTCAAATGCCTCTCTTTCGGCTGGTTTGCACTTCAGATTGTCTCTTCCTTCAAATGCATCTAAATCCACCCACTTCTCCCAACCTTCAATATTCACCCCAATCACCCTCTCCTCCATGTTTTTCACCTTTGCCCCACAATCCACCCTCAGCTGAGCCACCAGAGTGACATTTGTAAAACGTTAATTTTGATATATTATGACCCATCTATTCAAATCCCAGGAAGAGAGGTATTTCCAGCCTCTTTTATGCCTCCTCTCGGAATAAATAGTGTTTTCAAATGCACAAGATGAGACGCAGGATTACAATACATGAAAGAAACATGACTCAGCAGTGGTCTCATAACTAGCATTTTTTTTGCTGCATTGATGGTTATAAGTAATAACTGGCAGATGTAGATATCAACAAATCTGTGACATGATGGGAAGATACCTGTGGTTACAATGTGAGAGAAAGGGGCAGCTACTGCTGACACTGTGGTGATTTGTTGTCTACTTTTACAATGGAAGGAAATGCCAAATTCCAGTTAAATCTTTGTGAAAAAAATTAGAGATATCATTTTTTTTTTGCCTGAATTTTACCCATGGACCCAAGTTAAGAATCCCAGCTCTTTCCCATTGTATTCTCCCAGTGAGAACCAAAGTCATCCAGTGACTGAAAGCCCCCTGACCACAGCCGCCTCCCTTATTTCTTTGCTTTGGGGTCTCTCTGAGACCTTTTCTCTCTCTGATTCATCCCTGAATCCTTGGCTTCTTGTTTTCTCTGCTCTGTATCACATATCACCAAAGTTTTCCTTAAACATAACTGTCATGCTCCCTCCTCAATTATCACCTGACTTCCCGCTCCCTACCCCAACAAATCTACTAGCCTTGTGTCCTCACTTCAACATCAAGTGTTTTGCTCAGACTTCACCCTTTCAATGATATCATCCCTGACCTTGATCCCCTGATTTAAAATCTGGAAACTCTAACTCTCCCATCACCATTATTAATTCTATTTTTTTTTCTGTGAACTTCCTTTTTTCCCCACCCACTAGAATAAACCTTCATGAAGATAGGAATGTTGATCCATTTGCCCCCTGCTGCAACCCTGTGTCTAGAACAATGCCTGGCATATAGTAAGTGCTCAATAAATCGCTGTTAAGTGAATGAATTATGCAGCTTATATAGAGATAGTCAGAGAGCTTATTACTTGTTTGAGCTTAGTGCTGCAACTGAGTTACAATGTGTTCTGAGAGCCAGGTAATTGAATGAGCATGTGAATGTCTTCCCCCAGCAAGGCTCAAAGCTCAGACCACATCATGGTCCACTTGGAAAGCCAGGGCTTTTCCTTAGTGTACTATAGTGATGAATAGATGTTGAGTAGGACATGGGGCTGTTTCCCTGTCAAGTGCCAGAAAAACACAAACATCATTTCCCTTATCTGTCCATAAAAATCTACTGTTGATTAGGGGACACACCCATTTTGCATTACATTGTGCAGCTCTCATGTTTGTTATTTCTATTTGCCAAGAGGAACACTTGAGAATTTTCACTGGTTCCTGGAATTTCAGGAGGAAGACTGCACAATGGTAATAGGTTTGTGCCCTATTGTAAAGCTACACTGTCTGGTACAGAGCCCCTAACTACAGGTGGCTACTGAGCCCTTGAAATGTGGCTGCTCAGAATTCAGATTGCTGTAAGTACAAACTAACAACTGAGTTTTGATAACTTGGTACAAGAAAAGAATGTAAAAAAAAAACCATCATTAATCCTATCATATATTGATTACATGTTGAAATAATATATTAGATATAGTGGGTTAAATAATAAATACTATAATTGATTTCACCTATTTTTAAAAAAATTAATGTGGCTATGAGAAAATTTTAAATTGTATGTGTGATCACAAGGCATTTTTTACTGGACAGGGCTCTTTAAATGCCTGCATTTGCTCATGAGAGCTATTTTTCACATTTTAAAATCAGTTCAGAATGCAGGTTTAGTCCATGGGTGACTTTTTCTCTACAGGCTCTGAGGGAAGGTGACTGGTTCTGCATCTTGTGCTAGGAACAGCAGCTGGAATGAGACCTGGAATGAGAAGGGCCTGTATCTAGAGAGAAGGAAACTGAAATGTGGCAACAGGTATGTGCCCTAATTGCTCATGCTGACAGGAGCCTCTAGAAAAAGGGAAAAATGAATGTGCATCAGAGATAAATTCTCTATAAAAATGTACTCCTTTAAAAATCACTTATTAAAAGGGCATTGTTAAGAATGGTTCATTTATTCAGTCAGTTGCAACTGATTATTACATATCTGCAGTACGTTCCGTGTGCTACAGATTTATCAGGAAACAGAACCTGCCACAATTCCTGCCCTGTGGGGCAGGCCTTGTGTTGATTCTAGAGC